CTCCGCTCCGCCCTCGGCCCCGAGGCGGCCACGGCTCAGGACCCGGAGCCTCAGGTAGCCAGCCCCCTGCTATCAAGTTCAAGAAGACCTGTTCCAAGATTCGGAGGGACACGGCTGTGTGTCAGCTGGGACCACACCTGGGGAAAACTTTAGACGGACGAATGCGTTCTGAAATACGGCAGGGTTTTCGTTGTTTGCGTGCGTGCGTGCGTGTGTGTGCGTGTGCGTGTGTGCATGTGCGCGCATGTGTGTATGTGTGTGTGCATGTGTGTGCGCCTGGCGTTGCTCAGTGCACGGCTCGGTGAGCGGCTCTGAAATTCCACAAGAACCGTTTCTCTCCTAAAAGCCCCAAGACAAGCACCACTGTCTTCGTGTCTGCGACGCAGTGGATAACTCGACCCCCACGTGAAGAGCGGAGCCCAGGGGACGGGGCTGCGGGTGAGGGGGCGGGGCCTCGCCCCCCCAAGAAAGGGAGAGGCGCCAAGGCCAGGGACCCAGCCTGGCAGAGAGGCGGCCGCGGCCGGAGAAACTGCTCAATGCCCTGTTTCTCTTCGCTCCATCGCTACCGCACCAGCCTGCCCTCCCTCAGAAGAAAGAAGACTTGACCCTCGCCACCTGCCCTGACCCAGATGATGGTCCCAGCTCCCTACCTGCCCCACCTCCTCTGTTCTCACACAGGCTCTTTAAGTGCTTTGAGAAATGACACCTTTCCACATCTGAGGGCGCCACCCTCCCCACCGTGCGGGCACTGTCACCTGGAGTCCGAGCTCCAGCACGATGAGAAATACATTTTTGTTGTTTATAAGCTAAAACACAGGCTTTAAGAAGGTGAATAAGTGATTTTATGATATTGTGAGATGTTTTCTTATTCAAAAAATTTTGTAATTGATTTTGAGAGAGAGAGAGGAAGGGATAGAGAGAGAGAAAAGCTGCTCCCTGCTTGCCCCCCACTGGGGATCAAGCCTGCAGCCCAGGCATGTGCCCTGACCGGGAATCGAACCGTGACCTCCCGGTGCCCAACCAGCGGGATCGCACGGTGAGGGCGAGATGCTGTCTTTATGTTGTTCTTCTATTGATTTCCCATTCGGGGGCTCTCTGGGCCAGAACCTTCACCAAAGATGCCGAAAAAAGGTTTCGAAAACACTTCACAGTCTCAAGGTTCAAACTCAGATGAAAATGTTTTGCTGAAACGCCCTTCTAAAGAAAGCTCTTCACTCTGTCATCAGAAGGCGATGAGCCATCGCTCCTCAGCTACCGTAAAACCACAGTCGTGGCTGCCACCTTGTCAGCTTACAGATCACAGTTACCATGTCTCTGGCTTCGGGGAACAGGTCAGCTGGGAGCAGCGGTTCACAGCAGGGAAGCATGCGTTCCCGAATGCCAGATGTTCTATAGTAACAAAGTCGTCCTCGGGAATATAATTCCTGCCGTGGGGACAGGCAAGAAAAGGTTTAAAGCAATTAGGTGGACAAAGCAGACAGACGTGCTCCTCACAGCAGCTCAGAGACGATGCCCTGATGCAAATTCAAAACTGAGCTCAGCCCGCCCCGTGGCTCAGTGGCTGACCGTTGACCTAGGAACCAGGAGGTCACAGAGTTCGACTCCCGGTCAGGGCACAGGCCCGGGTTGCAGGCTCCATCACCAGTGTGGGGCATGCAGGGGGCAGCCGATCCATGATTCTCTCTCACCATGGATGTTTCTCTCTCTCTCTCCCCCTTCCCCTTTGAAATCAATAAAAATATCTTTAAAAACTAAATAAAAGCATCTGTCAGTGTTTCTCCAAACAGGACTGAGCGATCGATGGATGGGGGTGCGGCGGGCACCGGGGAGGCGCCTGGAGAACCGCTCCTGAAACAGATACGTGAGCTGATGCGAACCGGTCCCCAGGCGGCAGGGCCTTCGCAGGGAAGAGTCCTCCCTGAAACGGGGAACAGCGCCCGATCCCCCGCGGCAGCAGCCCAAGGCCCCGTGCCGCC